AAAAAAAAAAAAAAGAGAGTTATATAGTAGGTGAGACATATTTATCGTTGACGGGGGCAATTTATATGCGCCGTCTATTTTCGGTAAAAAAATAAAACGTAGTTCAACCAGACGAGCCATACCTCTCTCTGCATCTGGAGACTTTTCCGCGTAAGCTAACATCACTGCCGGCGGGCCCCTCCCCGGCACGTGACGGCAAATGAGTAAAACACAAAAAAAAGTATCTGAAAAAAATACAGTAAAACATATACATACGAGCGAGACGAGCGCGCGAGAGGACTATCTACCTATTGTTCTAGTCAGAAGTTTGTATAGTAGACGAATAAGAGACGAGCGAGGAGGAAATTATTATATCGGGGTAAAAAGATATAACGTAATAGGCGCCACTTACAGTGTCGCGACAGTACTTTTAGATAGGTGTACATACACATCGTATTACGAAGCGTATTACGTTGAGCGTCGTGTACGACTCGCTTCCCCGATTGATAGGGTGGAGGAGGGGGAGGGGGGAGGGGAGGGCGAGACTCTAACGTCGTCTCTACGCGAAGAGGAGACTTTATATTACACTGGCTGCGTTCCAAAATTCGCCACCCCGATCCGACGCCAGAGGCATGAATTCAACAAGCTGCAAGAAATAAAGAGAAGAGAACGACAGAAGTTAGAAAGAGAAAGAGAGAGAGAGAGAGAGAGAGAGAAAGAGAGAAAGAGAATGTAGTCGAGCGACTATATATGACTAAGAGACCCGTCGTGTAATTCCCTCTAGTAATTTATACACGGCTATCCGTTACTCTCGGCCATTAGGCGAAAACGTCAACTTTTGCGAACCTCAGACATTACGGAGTTTCGAAGAGAGAGAAACAGCGTGGGGGAGGGAGGCGGAAAAGGGAGAGCGAGAGATGTCAAAACTTCCAGAGATACATGCACGTCTGGGAAAAGTTCTATGATAAATAGAGGGAAAGTCCTTAATTGGATATCGTATGCCTTATTGAATTATTGTTATATACATGTACCAAAGTCACATTTTGCTGGGAAATTACGATAACGTTGTGAAAAAAGGGAGGTGGTCGGAACGGGGCGGGCGAGGTTTCGGGACGCAGCTGAAAGATTGAAGCAGAATTATTATTAACGCGGAAGGTGCGCTTACTTTACGCCGACACGCTGACGAATTCGTTCCGACCGAGTTCTTGCCACTGCTACTCAAATGCACTCGAGTCCGTGTAGCCGCGTGTCATCGTTGTGTCTCTCTCTGTCCCGGATGAGGCGTTGAAGACAATCGGGAAGAAGTCTATTCCGAGTTTCTTCTCTCGAGAGAATCTCTTGGGAATACCGCGCGGACGTGCAACTAGCAAATAGATCACGGGTAACTCTGCACATTACTCTGTACTTCTCATTCCACACGTTCTCACAGCGACCGCCGAAGTCGTCGGGCAAGAACGAAGTTCTCAGCGGTGCACGGCGTACAGCAGGTCGCCCCGAAGTCGCGCAAGACAAGGAGCTTGAAAACTCGTGAGTGCTGCCGAATTGCCAAATGTAACAATCAAACAGTGTCTAGTCGAAGTAAAAAAAAAGAAAAACAAAAAGAGAAAAAAAAAAAGAGAGAAATCTAGGAAGAATCAGGAATGATATACGACTGAGTGCGTGAGAGTGCGCGACTGTGCGTGCGATTGTGCGTGCCAAGTAGCTTAGCGCGACTTTAGGCGGGATGCGAGACTTTTTAGAAACTGTACACAAGTTCG